AGTGCATAAGTGCAGTGTACCCTTTTTTTAATCTTAATTTTTTACCATGTGCATTTGTTACTGCTTTTTTTAAAAGAAGAGTACATTCCAAAGAAGATTTTAAAAAAATAAATATTTTCTTCAAAAGCACACTCTAAGTTTAATCCTTTAAGTAAAATTAAAGAGACCACACAGAAAGCAGAGTGAAGATTAAATTACCAAACCAACACACACACACACAAATTTTTGAAATGTTTACAGAAACACAGGTAAGTTGCTTTATGCCTCTGGTCCCAGAGAAATTCAGGAAAATAAAAACAAAGGAGTCATTCAAAGTCTATGTGTCTGCTACTAATCACAGTTGGGGGCTGATAGAAGGGAATATCAGATGATGGATAAATAGTTAAATAAATACCAAAAGGTCGAGTAAATACCAAGTTTAAAAAATACGTGATTTTCCAAAGCAAATTAAAAACCCATTCAAGGCTAAGCTTTCCTTTTCTCCAATTACATTTCCCCTCACACAGTTCACATTCCACCAAAGAATCTGAATTTGCCATATGTGTCCCACAAAAATGAATTAAACAGTTAAGTGGGCAAATCCTAACATATATATTGCATAAGCTGCTGTAACGATACAAGTTGCAGATATGCTTGATTCCTTTTTCTAGATTCTCCTCTCAACTGAAAATTTCTGCTTACTTCAATTACAACTATCAAACTGCCCTACAGTTACCAAATTGTATTTGAAAAGTACTTCCAACCAGAATAAAAGGAACATGTCATCCAAGCCAGGTGTCCTGGAACGCACACATTTCTCAGCCTGAAGGACTCAAAGGGGAGAAGCTCTTAGGCCCAGGGTGAAGGAGGCACGGCAGTCCCCTACCCACAACCCCCCCACACACACCCCATTCCCACACGTCCCAAGGGCAACATCCGCAGACCTGGAAGGGTTTTGATAGGCTCTTGGCCTCTCTTATATCCACCCAAAGATGGTATGATTTACAAACCGTTTGACTATTTTGGCATTAAAATCACCACCGTCATTTGACCATTTCTGAAGGAAGCATGTTTCCTTGTATGTATCTCACCTCAGGCTCCCCTCACCCCACCCCTGCCAATGGCCTTAAAATATTTGTTTTCCTCTCCCTTCAAGATCATTTTCACTTATTTTATCCTTGATATTTAGTGATCACTGTTTTTGTTTTTCTTTTGTTCCTCTTGCCATATGCATTTTTAATTACACTTTTTTTAAACTTTTTACCAAATATTTCAAGTACACATGAAAGTACAGAGAAGAACATTAACACAATGAATACTCATTATCAACCGTGTACCAACTTAGCAAGAAATTAACATTTTGCCGTATTTACTTCAGCTCTTTTTGCAGAAGTTTGCTGTAGCTGACATCCTCGGTGTACCATTCCTCCCATCTCTCCTTTTCTCTCCTTCTCTCTCCAGAGGCAGCCACTCCCTGGTGTTTAACATACCCATGCATTTTTAAAACATTTTCCATACATATTCTGTGTTAATTATGGACATGCACATTGTTTTGCATGTTTTAAAACATTAATCAATGGCATCATACTGTACAAATCATTCTGCAACTTGCTTTTTCACTCAACATTGCATTCATTTCAACTGCCATATAGAATTTCATTGTATGAATATACCATTATTTATCCATTCCTCTACTGATGGACATTTAGGTTGTTTCCATTTCTTTACTCTTACAAACAATGCTATAATGAAGGCTTGAACATATCTTCTTGGATACACATTTGAGAGTTTGGAGGGTATGAGCCTAGAAGTGGGCTGTAGAGTATGTGCATCTTCACTTTGTCAAATTGCTCTCCAAGATGATTGTACCAACTGTACACTTTCTCCCGCCGAATATGAGTTTCCTTTGTTCCACATCCTCTCAAACACTTGATATTACAAGACATTTAAATTTTTGCCAATTTGACAGATATGAAAGCAAACTCAGTTTTTAATCTGCATGTCCTGTAAGGATAATAATTTCCTCACACGTTTGACTATTTGTACCATTTATTTTTCATATTTTCAACTTTCACATTCCCCATTTACTCAATCATGACTGTTCCATAGTGAGTCATAGCAGACACTGCATCCAGTCACCCTGGTTTCAAGTTCTGGCTCTAACACATTCACCCAATGTCCTCGGACACTTTGCCTGGCCTCAATATGCCTGTTTCCTGATCTGAAAAGAGGCGGCAGCACCCACCTCACACGGTTGTGAGCGTCTTATGAGTTAACATGCCTGAAGTGCTCAGAACAGTGACAGACTTGTTGTAAGATACAGTATTATCATTTTTACCACTTTAGAAATTAATTTTGTCAGTTATCTTTTAAATTGAATCTTTTTCTTTTAATGTGTCAATTTATATTTTCTCATCTTTTAGGACTTGTTTTTTTCAGAAATTTCAGCATTCATAACTTTAATCCTTTTATTCCTTTCTTTTCTATTAGCTTTAAATGTTCCATTTCTGTTCTCTTTCCATATTTCAATTCTTGCTTCTAAGACAGCAAAAAAGTCTGGCCTTGTAGAACAGCTGTAGAGAACATTCTTGCCAATGGGGAGGGCAGATGCTTTTCCCCCAGCTGTCCCTGCAGCTGCTCACCCAAATCCCCATGGCAGATCTAGCATCCTTCTGGTGTGAGAGCTTCTAAACATCTCAACCTTGGTAATGTAGCTAAAAAAACCTTTAGAGGACACGGGTCCTCCTGTGTTAACTGCATATCTGGATTACTAGCAATGTGTTCTTAAGTCACATCATCTAGTGACTTGATCAGAAGGTTTGTATGCTATGGACACTGAAAACTATTCCTATGTTATTGAGCAAATCATATAAACAATGTGAGAAGGTAGGAAACACCAGCAAAACTAGTGTGGCATAATGCTTCGTAAACAGGCATCCAATACATACTAATTGCCTAATAAGGAATGAAGGACTCTCAATGCTGCTGACCTGTCTCTAATGAAAACGTAGATGGTGTCAAACCACAAGCTAGACCATCGGGAAGAAGGTACAAGGACAGATCCACGACTCTGCTCTTCGCCTTTCCCTCACCACGCTACCTGGCTTCCGTATTTCTACTTTGATTCACCTGTTGAAGCAGGGTTTTAGGAGGATCCTCCTTGTGTGTCTAGCATACAACACTCATGAAAGAGAGCAGAAACACCCTGGTTTGGTTCTCAGCTCTTAGAGCTGGAAAGTGGATGACCTTCTACCAGGCAAGGTTTCAGATAGGTGCCTCAATTTTCATAAGAGGCTAACCAAGTTGCCAACCTATTCATCTCATATTGAAAGCATACAAATTCACCTTCAAACAGCACAAATTATATGCAACTCTGGCCCTAGCCAGAGGCAGTAACCTAAAGACATTTGCAGCTCATTTCTTGTCAGAACCAGGTGAGGACAGTGGTATTCATGGAAGACTGTGTCAAGCCCATCCATTCCTCTAGTCTAGATAGCCTCGGTTTATCCATGGCTTAAGCCATCTAAAAGCTGCATAATACAGCGGTATTCTCCAAGGTGGTTGGATTACTGGTGATTTTTATTTTCTTCTTTTTAAACTCTTGTATTTTCCAAATTTTCTACCATGAGAATGTATTCTGTTTATAATAAAAGAAAAACACAGTAAATGTTATTTTTAAAGCTACATACTTGGAATACACCACCTTCCCCACTCCCACATCCCAACTAAAGTGCTTTTATTGAAAAACAACTGATATCCCCTTTCATGAGAAAATTTCACCAAAACTTGTCTGTGAAACCCACAACTGCACTTCCAGAGAGTTTTTTCTATGAACAGGATGTTACTGACATTACTCTCTACACCATCACTCAATTAATATTATTTGTAAGCCATATAAAAAATTCCTTTCAGAACGAAACACTAGGAAAACACGGTTTCGTCCAAGCAATTGGTGACCTGTTTCTTTTATGGACAGTGAGAATTATATAACTTGTCAAATTTTCCCTTTTCATTTTGGCAACAGAAGGTCAGATGTAAATATGAATTGTAACTAATATCTATGCAGGACTTTATGCCTATGCAGCTTTGTTCCGAGGATCCCAGGCTCTAACATGGTTTTATAATTTGTTTTGAATATTTTTCTACTGTGTGAATATATTCTTGAATCCACCCTAAACCCTTCTTACAATAGGGCAGGACATTATTAAATACAATGGTCTACATTGCTCAGTATTAAGTTTGTACTTTATGCCCTAAAATTTTTTTCCTTTTTTTTTTTTTTATTTCGGCATATTATGGGGGTACAGATTTTAAGGTTTCAATAAATGCCCTTTCCCCCACTTCCCCCACAAGTCTGAGTTTCCAGCATGAAATGCCCTAACATTTTTAAACTGAGGAATAATAAAATCACAATACAGTGTCTTTTTCAATCATTCTCAACTAACACATAAAAAGTTCAGCTCAAATTCAACAAAAGAACTAAGAATTAATTATGATTCCACTCTTATACCATTAAATCTTTTTGCTCTCTTTCACTTATGAAGGACATTTACTTAATTTTTTATACCAAGATAGAGAAAAAATACAACAAACTTATTTCAGTCTATATATTATATGTTAACTAAGAGCAAAAGGAGGCAATATAGTATAGGTGTTATAAACACAGACTTTGAGATCTGTGTTCAAATCTTGACGTAACTATTTACTAGTGGTATGAGTTGGTTTACATATAAAATGTGGAGAATAACATTACCTACCTATTACAGGTGCTGTGAGAATTAAATAACATATGTAAAGCACTTAAAATAATGTATAACATATGTATGCACTCAATCACAACAGCTGCTGCTGTCACTGTTGTTATTATACAAAAAGCCTACCATGCCCTCTTTAAACCATTTAAGCATTTCTGCCAAATAACTACACAAGGATTTTCTTGCATACCTGCAAAACAGAAATGTTTTCCAAAAATGGGTATTTAGCATAGTAATTCAGTATTTGGGATAATTCAATAAATTTACCTGAACTGTCCAGTACGAAGAAAGCAAAGAGCTCTATTACCATAAAGAAGGTGGTTTTCAGGTCTTAAAAAGAAAACAATGTTTAGTTAGTATAGCACATAACACATGAAACAAACAAAAACCACACAGAAAACATAATGAAAAATTTTTTTAAACTTTACATCTGTGTGACAGAGGATTTGGAATCTTAATTATGTCCCAGTTCCTTCAATTCTAACTTAAAGTAATCTTGTTCAAACCAACCTAAACTCCCCTGTATTCAAAAGAAAGATAATTCTACTTGCTCTAACTCACAGGGCTATTGTGAGGATCAAATGAGATATATTGAAGAGCTACCAAACTACAATGCATGCTGTATCTTTAAGGGGGATAAGATTACCTATATAAGACAGGCTGTGCCACTTTGACAAAGAAACAAAGCCTGCAAATTGAAATAGTAACTTAAATAGTTTCATTTCAAATTTCGTTCTTTTTAGTTTTATCTATATGTGATGAAATTTATTTCTCCTTTCCCCCACCTCGTCCTCAAAAGAATAGAGCAGCAGACTTTCAGACATTTCATGCTAACTGGATGCATGCACTCCCTGAAGAGATGTGCAAGACAGGAAAGAGTAGTGTCTACAGAGAACCCTCCAAAGGCTGCTACAATATTAGGTGGCCCAGATGAGGCTGTCAGTAGCATCCGAGTATGAGGCACATCTGAAGGTAAACTATAAAATCTAGCAGCTGAACAAAGAAGATAAGGTACAGAGAGCACGTGCATTTTCTCAACAATTCCCAATATTATCCTTTAAAAGTTACATCTTAGGAAGCAAAAACCACTGAATGGGTGGCATCTTAAGTGCTACCTCTTTTTGATCAGTTAATAATTTAGAAGGACTTGGTTGATGGCAAAACAAGGACAAGACAGAATAGATGACTCTGTACTGGAAAGTCTGAAAGAAAATAGAAGAGTACCCAAATTCACAATTCTGTCACACTTGCTTGATTTATACTATTTGACTAGGCTCATATACTCAGGCCATCTCCAATGGTTCTAATGTCTAAAGATGAGGAAACCTATTCTGCACAGCAAATTAAAACATATTCTCCAATTCCTCATCCTGCTTTTATTTCTCCTGCATAGTATTCTAACTTGATCTGCCACATAAAAAGGATCTCACTATTCTATTTTGGTCTTACCTATATTCAATGGCTCTGGTGTAATAGATAATAGCTATATCAAATCTTCCTTTGGCAAACTCTTCATTTCCTTTCATTTTCATTAGTTCTCCTTGCTGAGAAACCAAGGTGAAAGAAGACCCATCGATTAGCTCCAAAGATAATCAAGACCCAATACCTAGGAAAAATGGATCTGGGTTTCTATCTTTGATATCAGAAATAATCTAGGGATTTTTTATGTAGAAAATGAGAATGCAATATCAAATATTTTGGCATATATATTTAAAGAAACCTTTCTCTAATGACTCAACACTAACTTTGTTAAAGGAATATTAAAAAATAAATCAAACCATCACATTATGATTAATTACTAAAAATTGTGTGCAGTATTTGATAGATTTATTTTTAAATATACCTTATCGGTAAAGTACAGCAGACTAAAAAGCAGATGCAAAGTAGAAATTTAACTTTAGGTTAGTAAATGTGATATTATTCAATAAATCTTAATGCTTAAAAAATATATAAATCAATAACATACAGGCAATGTTGATTAGATTAATTACAAAAAATGAGGTGGCAGGTTACCAAGAATATATATAAAAAATGCTACAGCTATAACTGAAACTTTTCACTCCAAACACTCAAATTTTTTAAAATAAATAAATTAAACTGGATCATATCAATGGCTTTAATTAGAGAATTCAATAAAACATTAAATGTTTTGCTAAATCCTTTTCTAAAATTGAGTTAAGATCATATTTCCTATGAGTAAGCTGGATGGTACGTGAATTACATTTCAATAAAGCTGTTACCAAAGAAAATCACATTTCTAACTGAAAGAACAGTTGGCTGGGCATAGTGGCTCACACCTGTAATCCCACTTTAGGAGGCCAAGGCAGGAAGATCACTTGTGGCCAGAAGTTCAAGACCAGCCTGGGCAACATAGAAATAATAGACCCTATCTCTACAAAAAATAAGAAAAACTAGCTGAGTATGGTGACATGCCTGCAGTCCCAGCTACTTGGGAAGCTGAGGTAGGATTGCTTGACCCCAGGAGTTTGAGCCTGCAGTAAGCTATGAATGAGCTACTGCACTCCAGCCTGGGCAAAGAGTGAGACCCTCTCTCTCCAAGGGGAAAAAAAAATTACTTGAAAAATATCAGATTTTAATTTTCAATTAACTGTTTAAAAATCATCTGAAAATTCCGATCAAGATATTTCTTCAAAAAAATTCCAAATCACAATCTATTAAAAATTTCCCTCAAACATGTCATTCAATTTTATAATAGTTCTCGTATGCCGTGAGAAAGCAGTTTTGTTATTAACTTTCTCTGACTGTTAAAAGTTCTAACAGGCAAATCTTATAATATATTTACAAGTAAATATTTATCCTCACCTCTATACAGTCCGCACAAGTTTGGGTTTTAAATTCTTCAAGCAAATCGGAGTTTTCTGTTATAACTTTAGTTATGTGATACTTGTCTAAATTTTGTTTTTAGGAGAGAGTGAGAGAGAATATTTGTTAAAAAAACAAACTGGTATTGATAATATTCTAATTTTTAGCTAAGGTAGGTGAGTCTATAAAGTTCATTATGTTACTAATCTTTCTAAATAGCACGTTTCTTGTAATCTTTTATGTGTATTAAATAATATAAAAATGTAAATTGATAAAATGTTACAGAAAGCATTGGATTTATAGTTTGCTATGAATCTATTCTCAATTTTTATTTCTAACAATTGAAAAACTCATTTATTATTACATCAGTTGTAACTGTATTTATATAACAAATGCTCTGTCAAAACATATTCCAAATATGCCTCATCATTACTTAAACCAATTCAACAAACACTGTCAAGCACCTATGGTGTACCAGGCACATTGTTCAATAAAAATGTATAAAAACAAAATCGTGGAAAACTACTTTCTGAAATGTATTTAATATACAGGTTGAGTATCTCTTATCCAAAATTCTTGGGACCAGAACTATTTCAGATTTCAGATATTTTTTATTTTGGATCCTTTGCATTATACCAGTTGAGCATCCCAAATCCTAAAATCTAAAATTCAAAATGTTCCAATGAAGATTTCCTTTGAGCATCATATCAAAGCTCAAAAAGTTTTGAATTTTGGAGCATTTCATATTTTGGATTTTTGATGCTCAACTTGTAATAAAGAATTTAAAATGTCTTCATTCAGTATTTTGACTCTCATTAATAAAATGTTATAATGAGAAGTTATTTGAAACACTATTCTTATAAAAATTTAATAAATTAAAATGCATTAAGTAACCAAACTTTATGTCAAAAGTTTATCAAGTATCATTTTCTGCATTTTAAGCTGTTATATAAAAAGGATTATAAAAAGTAGAAAAAAAATATTTTTATTGCAACAAAACTATACTTAAGCCTGTAGCAAACATATTCATTTCCAAGGTGAAAGGAGTACCTAAAAATATAAGATTCAAGAAAAGCCCTCGGCCAGGAGCGGTGGCTCACGCCTGTAATCCTAGCACTCTGGGAGGCCGAGGCGGGTGGATTGCTCAAGGTCAGGAGTTTGAAACTAGCCTGAGCAAGAGAGAGACCCCGTCTCTACTATAAATAGAAATAAATTAATTGGCTACCTAATATATATAGAAAAAATTAGCTGGGCATGGTGGTGCATGCCTGTAGTCCCAGCTACTTGGGAGGCTGAGCAGCAGGATTGCTTGAGCCCAGGAGTTTGAGGTTGCTGTGAGCTAGGCTGACGCCATGGCACTCACTCTAGCCTGGGCAACAGAACAAGACTCTGTCTCAAAAAGAAAAGCCCTGGCAGGTCATGAAATAAAGTAAATTAATACTAAGGTACAGAGTAGGATCGCAGCAGGAAAACCTGGGCTTTGAGATCAGAGAAACCTGATTTCTCATCTAGGTTCTGCTACTTACTAGACTTCAGAAATACCACTTAACATCTCAAAATCTTAGTGTGCTCACTTCTAAATTAGGGATAGTAACAGCCACTTTGCAAGGCTATTATACAGAAGATAGAGAATCAGAAATGACCCTGCATAGGTGTGCCTATGGGTGCTTCTCTGCTTCTACCATAAAATTGCCTATAATTAAAGGCCTCCAAAACAATGACGAGAACATCAATCAGTGTAACACATCTCAGTACCTAATAAACCTATGAGAAATATCTGTCTTCATTTAAGTTTAATTCTTTTCTAGTACTTAAATTAAAAAGGCAAAATTTGCCAGATGCAGTGGCACACACCTGTAACCCCAGCTACTGAGGAGGTCAAGGTGGGAGGATGACTTAAGACCAGTACTTTGAGATCAAGCAGGGCAACACGGCAACACCTCACCTCTGAAAAAAATTAGCTGGGCGTGGTGATGCACCTGTAGTTGCAGCTACTCAGGAGGCTGAAGTGGGAGGATCACCTGAGTTCGAGGCTGCAGTGAGCTATGACTGTGCCACTGCACTCCAGCCAAGGCAAAAGAGCAAGACCCTGTCTCTAAAGAAATAAAAATTTAAAAAATAAATTTTTAAAAAATAGTGCTAAATTTGCCCTCTTCTCACCAAAGTATTGGTCAGGGTCTACTAAAAAGCCAAACCTTTCCCATTTCAAGATTCCCATAACTATACTACAAAAACACTGCTGAGATTCATATGCTTTAAAGGAAAACATTTCACAAAGTAAAAGACATACGTAAGGCAGTTTCTCCATACATAAAAGAATAGCAGACTCATCAAGAAAGTGAAAATCACAATTTTAGCTTTTGTTACTTTTTCTTATGAACCCATTTATGGTCTCTTTCTTTGAATAATATATATATAAACCTACATCATCCATTAGGCCAAATTTTAAAAAGTACAATGTCATAAAAATAATTAAGACAGGAAATACACAATAAAACTAACCACAAGGTTAAAGTTCTCTTATTCAGGGATATGTAACAAGAGAAAAATATTTTTTTAAATCCTAAGATAAATCAGAAATCACATAACTACACATTCCATTTTCCCAAACAATACCTTTAAAAACTGAGTCAAGTAACAATTTAAAGCACTTATACTTACATTCAGTAAAGAAAATACTTAACATAGGCCAACAACTGTCAACTGCTGCTAATTTAGTTAGAATTGTTACATCGCCTGCATATTTTATCCAATTCAAAGCTTCCTCCATTGCCAAGATTTTCTGTTTCAAAAGAGAAATGAAGAATGGGATTTGGGTATTAATTCTAAGCAAATTTATCTTATACAAGTGTTTCAGACCCTTAATATAAAACTTCTACAACTCTGTACTTTCGCTTCCCCAGCATGCAACCTAGAGCAGCTAGACTCTGACATACAAGTTAACAGACACCATGGACTCACATACCGTGTTTCCCCAAAAATAAGACCTACCCATAAAATAAGCCCTAGCAGGATTCTAAGCATTTGCTCAACAGAAGCCCTACGCAGCCCTTCTCATCTACCCCATGAGAGCTCTATTGCTCGACATGAGAGATTGAGGCCAATGTTTCTAAAGGAAACAGAGTCGCAAGAAATTCAGGATGGAATCTGGGGTTTGGAGAGTTATGATGATGTTCCAGAAGAAGACGACTTAACTATATTGGAATAAATGTAGATTGTTGTACTGTACTTAAAAAAAAAAACCACATCCCCTGAAAATAAGCCCTGGGGTGTCTTCTTGAGGAAAAATAAATATAAGACCCTGTCTTATTTTCGGGGAAACACGGTATGTTACATGTTCAGGTGACCTCAGGCTACCCTCAGAGCTCAAAATGCTTCTGCAGTGATTACAGACCTGGAATTTGAGGTCTACAACCTGACAAGAAGATGCCTGTAATGGCAGGCAAGTACAATACAAGGTGGACAGGGTTCTCAGAACTTATCTAAACTAGGACTTTCATCCTCACCTCAAGATTAAAGGTATAGATTACGGCTTACCAAAGAGACTACCTGTTTTACATGGTCTTTGACAAATAGAAGAAGGAGATTAACAACAAGAGGAGGATATGTGGCTGGCCAAATGGGGACTCAGTGCAATGATCTTTATGAAGGATCAAAATTCACAGAAATGTTATTTGTACTTCTAATGTCTGAAATAACTTCAGAAATTTAATACTTGAGTTATCAATGTTGGTATCGGGCTTAGGAGAAACATATAGATGTTTATGTCACCAATAGCATTAAAAATTGGTTTATCATTAAATCTGGAGATTATCTAGTAATTACATATCAAAAATATTCATACCAGGGGTATAATAATTTCATTTGGGGAAACATAAGCCAGGTATATAATCTAAAAGAGAAGAATCAACTTGTAAAAGAGGCTCAAAATTATACATATATGGAGAAAAAGATGAAAATGATGCAAACCCCCAAATCAAGGAGAAGGCATAAGGAAAATATAGAAATAAACACTACCAAATATTATTTATGAAACAGTAAGTATGTAGACTCAATGTACAGGGAAATGAGCAGGGTGATGATTGCCAATTATTCACAGTCGGTGTGGATTCTGTGTTTTACACTTACATTTTCTATTTTATAAGCAATTCTCAGTAAGCCTCCAATAAGGAATGAATCATTCTGAAAAATAAAAACAAAACATATTTTTTTCCTTATTCAGTCAATTATACCTGAATTTTCTAATAGAAAAAAATTCTACATTTTAGGAATACTACTATATGTACATAGCAGTACACTTCCCACAAGCACATGACAAATTTACCCCAAAGACCTTAAAACGAGAATTCAGAAATAGTCTTCCATAAATTTCTAGTGCTAAAATAAATGATTTAGTGTAACTTTTAGACCTGTGGATTTTTGAAATTCATTGCACCTACATTTTTTGATAAAGATACACTGGCTTGTATGTTACTGCAAAGGATTATGAGTAGGAAATAAACATCAGAATGTCCTTTCTAAACTTAAGTTTGCAATCAAAATAGTACCAAGAACAACATTTGGTTCCATAACGAATTGAAGTAAGAAAAATTATCAAATGGCTTTCAAAAAATAATAATAATAAAAAAAACCCTCAATATAGTACAAGGACAGCTTTTCAAATCTGCGCTGGTAAAGTCTACCTCTACCCCAAAGACAAAATATTTGTTGAGATGGTGGTGTGTTTTTATGTCAAAAGATAGAGCCCATCACCTTCAGAACCTGTGACAAAGGTTTCTATGAACCAGGGCCCACTTTCATGTGTGATGAATTCCAACTCTTATCCTTTAATGACAAGCAGCAGTTCTGGTCCCCAACATGGCATGTCAGAACCATGACAGCAGCCATCTCCCTACCTCTTGAATACTGAGCACACATTCATGGATGGCAGAATCATCTCAGGTTAACCAAAACTAAAACCATTACCTGTTAACTGCTATAAACTAGTAATATGGACCTAACACCATATAAATATTTATATTCTTTAAATAGGGGTAAAAAAAAACCTACATTCTACCACTTACAGCAACTTTCTTTGCCAAATCCACAATATCTTCCATCAACTCAAGATGTTGCAATTTCTTCAAACTTATCTCAGAAGCACGAGAATTGCTTAAAGACAAATTTATTTTTTAAAAGATTAGGTTCTCATATATACAAATTCACTGAACTTTACACTTAACTATATGTTGTATCTCAAACTACTGAAAAAAATTAAGTCACATTTTTCTTCACTCTAGGACAATAACTAAGCTGTTAAGTGGACAAAGTACTATATATTTTCTCTCTTCTACAACACCAATATTTATAAACAATGTTTCCTGACTCAGCTTAAAGTCTACCATCTAATACTATTCAGACTTTCATGGATTATAATATTACAGTGATTCACTCATATGCAAATCCCAAGTATTTCTCTTTCTACCAAACAAAAGTAAAATTGAACAAGAATGAGACATAAGCCTTCTACTGTACTTGGCAATCGTCATGACTGGGCAATGTTGAGGAATATGATTGAGGAATTAATGAGATGTGGCTCATAAGATCATTATTTTATTGTGTCGCCCAATATTGCTATATTAAAGACAGAAATAGAAGTTTGCAGGGTTTTGCTCTGAAGGTTTTGCTCTGAACTTATTAGTTCGCCTATCAAGGGCTACCTCGCTGGATGTTTTCCAATAGGCTTCCTGGTTATCTCAGAATCTGTGAAGTCTTACTGTTTTTGAACTACAAGACAGGTAAATACCTGGCTCACAGGTTGGGAGCCAGAGACAAAGAGTGCCCTAGGCAAGAGACTCACCCCTGTGGTTATAAACAATTTGTTTTGAAGAGATAGGCTTCTCAAAAAATATATAGAGCTATTATATCTCTTTGTTAATCCTCTGTTAATTGATAACTATTTTTTAAAACTTCAAAGTTAGTCCTTAAAGGACTTTGTACCTGTTTGTTCACCTAGATAGATTAAAAATTATTAAAAGCCCTTTAAAAGGACTTGTGACCCTACCCCACTACCTGTTACCCATAACAACCAAAATTATCTGATATATAAATCTATTACCCTGACAACTGATAATTATAAAGACCTATAAAAATCTAACCATAATACTAGACTACTTACAGAGATATGGTTCAGACTCCTGAGTACCCCTGCTTTATCTGATTTATCAATATAAAACTATACCTTAGCCTCTGTGTATTCTTTTATTCTATTTCCTATCAATTTTCTTATCGTCTATGGTGACCACTAAGGGACCTGGCTTCACAGAAAAAAGCAGCCACCCCCATAGGGCAACATGCTTCTCACTGTTCATACAAATGAATAACATACAGTAACTTACTTGGCTTCCAGACAGGGATGCAATCGTGATATTATAGAACTATTTTGATGTTGAAACAGAAGTGGCCAGAATATGTTTATTTTAATGGCATCACAATAATCTTGCAGGACAGAAACTGGTTTATTACACCATATACTGCAGATGTCAAATTCTTAATTTAAAAAAAAGTTTAAAATTAGTATCTGTACCTCATTTTGAAATGAATCAATGCTATTAATAGTATCAAGGTAAAAACAGATATGGAAAGAAATGAATGGAGGAAATATCTTAACCTATTAGATGTTAAGAATATTTAAATGTTAGCTAAAACTCTATTTTAACAAAAAAGGTTGTGGTTTCTAGTGAAAAAATAGTAAGAATATATTTTTAAAAGATATATAAATCTGTTATATGTTGCTATGACTAGATAGATTGGACATCCCTTCACAGCCTTTCAATAAACTGACCTTAAAACACCAACATACTCACCTGAATTTCTCTCACTTTGGGCATAATCTTTATACTGCATACCCTAGAAAGAAGAAAATTCTTTTGATTTATAGCTGGTAAAATACAAAAAGTACAGTTTTTGATTTTTTTTTTTTGAGACAGAGTCTCACTTTGTTGCCCAGGCTAGAGTGCCATGGTATCAGCTTAGCTCACAGCAACCTCAAACTCTTGGGCTAAAGCAATCCTTCTGCCTCAGCCTCCCGAGCAGCTGGACTACAGGCATGCACCACCATGCCCAGCTAATTTTTTCTATATATTTTTAGTTGGCCAATTAATTCCTTTCTATTTTTAGTAGAGACAGGGATCTTGCTCTTGCTCAGGCTGGTTTCGAACTCCTGACCTTGAGAGCAATCCCCGCCCGCCTCGGCCTCCCAGAGTGCTAGGAGTTCTTGATTTTTAATCTAAGGATTACTGGAAATAAACTGAAAATTTTCAGTGTACATTTACGCTTTGAACACATCTTCAGCCAATGAGTCTTAATTTAAGGCCTTTTACACAGTATTTCCTGAAACTGATTCTATGGCTCTCGCTAAGAGCATTTCTAACCCCCAGTCAGAAAACCACTTTTCACTATCACTCATTCTCTGGCAATCATATTCTTATTGCCCAGTCACTGTTACCTGGCCTTCTGAAACGAACTCTTAAAGCTTATATACCTCAATGTCAAAACCAATGTACCACAAAAACATCTTTACTAAGAAAGCTCTAAACCAGAAAACCTTTAAAATATAATGTCAAAAATAAAAAAACCTACTTACCACCCCATTACAGTAAAGCTGAGTCACACGAACATAATCATCAGTCATAAATTCAGGAGCACAGACACAATCATCCACATAAGGGCAATCTTCTAACAAGGCATAATCTGTTACAGCGCAATCTCCCTTGGCAAAATCGTCCATGGTGCACGATCCTAAGGAAACAATACAAACCCAAATCAATAATTAAATCATTTGAAATGATCTGAGAAGCAGTTTTCCTGGCTTCTATAGTTTATTAGAAAAATACCTGGAAGCTATGCCCCAAGGAAGTAACTTCAATCGGAACACTAAACTCTGCAAGATTCTCATCCCCATTCTGCTGGCTCTCTCCAAATAGTTTAATCTATTTCTTCTCTTCCTTAGGTTCACATATTCACCATCTCTACTTTAATCTGTTTACTGTGTCTCCTTTAGATGGAAGATAATTACGGGCATCTTATTTTTGTACGTGCCTAGCACATGGTAAGCCCTCAAATAACTGCTGAATGAAGAAAAAACATCTTCCCACTGCTGTGCTTGTACCCCACCTACATCTACTGTACTCTATAACGTGCCACTTCATCATACACAAACTCTACTATATTCTCAATTACCTGTCCTGAACTAAATCTTGACTCCACTAAGAAAATCCTTTTCTATCAGCTGCTCATATTCTACTGTCTTTCAGTGTGTTTGTCTTGGCAAAGGAGTAAGGCTAGAGCAGTACAGGGTGAGGCTGTCAATCTGCTAACTCCCCAAGGCCACATCCAGACCTTCCATCCTCCTAACAATTCCTGCTCCTAACACCTCACAACCACTGCAACACACTGCTAGATTGCAAAGGGGAAAACCCTTCACATTATCAAAAGCTATGTTTTATAAATACTTCAATGGAGGAAAAGGGGAATTAGGGCTGATGTTTCAGACTAAGTTTTTTTTCCCTGAAGAAAGTTCAATAACAAGGGTTTTCATAGCTATCAAAACCTAAACATCACTGAAAAATACAGCATTACTTCTATCTCTTGCCCAAATATTGGCCGTCCTTCCTGTCATCACCAGCACATCATTCACTTCATTCCTTATACCTCTTCACGTCACCACTATATCCCATTATTGGGACAAACCAGGTTTCTTTTTTCCTAAGCAAGACCACCATCAGTCCTTGAAATACAAATCTATTTCTTTAATCAATCCATCCAATTTGCTGTATAAAAATTCCACAATGTCAGAAGTGAAGAACAGTAACAATCTTCCTAGCAAACTCTTTGTACTATGTGCCACATACTGTACCAAATGTTTCACATGCATCATCTCATTAATCTTCACAGCAATTCTTCTTGGCAGGACCAATTATCATCATCTCCTCTGTACAGACGGAAAACATTCTCAGTAAAATTAAATACTTTCTTTGCTCAAGGTCACCAAGCTAGAAAGGATTCAAACCCAGTCCTCTGATTCCAGTCTCTTCTCTCAAACACTATTTCACTACATTTACTTTTCCATCATTGCCACCTATTTACCTCTTGGTTACTGTCATGTTTCAAGAACACTGGCAACTAGTTCACAGTGTTCTCTATCCTCCAAATCCTACCATTATCCCAGCCACATAAAGGCCCATGCAGATAATACCCTAGCCTTGCAATTTACCTCTTCAACTAACATGAACTTCACTACCCACCTCTCTTCCTTCCTAGGGCCACACTGCCCAGGTCTAAACCAGTTTTTAAATCTTTCACTCTGATAAGCTCCCCTCTGACCACAGCCAAGGTTCATTATGGCTCATGTCTTCCCTGTCTCCTAAGACAGCCATTCCTCAACCTCACCAAGAACTCTTCTTCTTTTTTCTCTCATCTGAATCCTCTATTCTTCTCATCCACTTTCAGTTTCCTTACAATTTGGTTTCCACTTCCACCATTCAAGGGAAACTGCTTTCAATAAGATCATTAACGACCTTCTACAATAGATTGGTTATCTATGTCTACAACCTGACCTGTTCTGCATGAACAATATTTACAGAGTTTAAAAATTTAACTCCCAAAGTGAACAATGACCAGAAAAAATAAGACACTGCAGCACCCAAAGTATGGCACATAATGTGGGACATATGCTACCCTAGGAAATATATACTTTTAAACTCACTTGTCTTATAAACTTTTTTGATATATAAATACAGAAAGAGCCAAGAACTGTCTCAGCCTACACATCATGGCGTCAATTACAGTACAATTAACGTGCTCATACCTGGCAGACTGAGCCATCGTGACATCACACTGGTCATTCAAGCCTGACAGATCTCACTTGACACAACACACAGCACCAATTGTACTGCAATTACGACACTGGTGTAATTTTTATTTTCTGTTTTGTTTTAAGTAGAGAGGCGATGTGGCAATTTGGTTAAGAGAATGGACTCCAGCCAAGACTGCCTGGCCTTAAATCCTGGCTCTCCCAAGTGATCTTATGCAAGTTACTTAATCTCTCTGTGCTTCCATTTCCTCACATGTAAAATGGGGATAACAATACCTCCTACCTGATTAATCAGTTAATACATGTAAAGTGCTTACAAGAGTACTGGGCACATGGGACATGCTGCAAATACCAGCTATATTAACATTATGCTTCCATCTAAGTTGTCTACCTTAACTGCTAAATCCAAAGAGCACTTTTTGGCTTACAACTTACTTGACGCTGTGGACCACTTCCTCCTCAGAACTCTTCATTTGGACTCCAAAGACCATCTTCTCCTGGTTCTCCTCCTATTCGTCTGGCTGCTCTTCCTCAGTCTCCTTCATGGGCTCTTCTTCTCCATTCCCCGCCACCCAAATGTCAACTCTATTTTCTTCTCACTCTTACTCTCTCCTTGGGTGACCTCATCCACCACACCCATGGCTTAAGACAGCACTTTCTGAACTTCCAACATTTGCATAGCTTCACCATGATTTTTGCCATTTCCACATGTTACATGTATTTTTACTTAATATTTCCCTTTTATTGAGCTCACTTGGCCTAAGTGATAATGTCCATGATATGATAGGTTTGATGTGCAAGTTATGTTTTTCACACACATTAAATTCTTACCTATTAAAAATTTTTCAAGTGTTTATCTATGTACCATTTTAAATTATCTCATACTGCACTGTAGGAAACAATGGCTTCCAAACTTCCAAATGCTGAAGACTCCCAAATCTCCCCAGGCTGGGTTGTATCACTTGACTTCTAGAACCTCCCTATCAACTACTACTGGATCTTAACCAAGATGTCCCACAAGCCCCTCAGATTCAGTAAGTTCAAATACAAACATCTTTTTCCTCAAAAACAAACAAATGAAACCAAGTTCTTTCCTCTTTCTGTATGCTGTTTATTAATTAATTGCTCTACATGCCACCTGGTTATCCAAACCAAAAACCTGGGAGTCAATCTTGACTCTCCAGACTTCAACATTTCTATCCAACTGACCACTAAGTCCTGTCATGTCTACTTCCCTAAGAAATCTAAAATTAGCACACATACACTTCTTAATGCCCAGTGCCACTTGCCTTAGTTGTACCTTCATCTTTTCTCTCCTGAACTAACTTAAAAAGCAGTCTCCTAACTGGTCAATCTTAGCTTACTCTAAAACTCTGATCATACCATTTTACTGCTTAAAACTGTTCAATAGCTTCCCTTCGTCTTCAGAATAAAGTCCAACCTCCCTACTATAAGCATAGAAGGCCTTTTTTGATGCTATTCCTGCTTGTCTCTCCAGTCACTCCATGACGCACAACCTAGAAGCAGTCATACCCAACTGCCCATCCTTCCTAAACAAATCTTATTCTACAACCACCTCATGCCTACCAGTCCTTAATACTCAATGCCAGGAAGTAATTCCTGATCTTCTATTACCAAGTTTATGTCTGCACCTCTTCTCTGTAAGCCCAGAGCACCCTGCCCACAGCTTTGACAGTAGTTTTCACACTGTTCAGTCATCACAGGTTTATCTCTGTGGGGTCACCATGAGTCCAGAAGATACACTGTGTAATACACTTGTTACCTGTACTGTTATTTACTCAATCACTTCCTTTAGAATAACTAAAATTTTAACTTAAATATAAACTCGCTCAGCAGGTGATAAAACCAAGAAAAAAAAAAAATATAAACTCGCTTAATAGAAATTTTAATATCACCAAGAAATCCTATGTTTGGTATGATAAATTTTTCTGATACAAACTAAATATACTATTAAAATTAAATATTAAAATAAAAAACTTTTAATCCCATCAGTTATGGTGAACCAGTTACTCTGGGGACTCTACAGTTATAAAAAAAAAAAAAAAAGTAGATCCTAGATTTAAAAAAAAACTTTTTAGATGTTTTTGCTGAGCCCATAGAAATATGGGAACATTGAAAGCTACCCTCACCCCCCAACAGCAACAAACCTTGAACTAGATATTAAACCTAGCAGTCAAGAATACAGTCGTGGTACCAGTAAATCAGTAGTGGAATCAGGACACTGAGCCCTGGGCCAGAAGCAAAAAGTAAGAACTGAAGAGTGGCCCCAGTTAAACTACCTGGTTCCAAGCCAAAGCTGACACAAATGCTTTCAGAAAGAAAGCATGCCAAAACTAGACTCTCAAGATTGCCAGAAAGATCAATCAAATAGCAATTCATAATAAATGATCAACAAGTTCAGGAGGTGACAGCCACCATGAGGGAGAGACAACAGGAAAGAACAAGCAGTCAAGTTTAGACCTCCCCAAGCCCCTGCCAAGGATATCATTAGGATTGCCTGATATGGTCTGCAGAATAGCTACCAATTCACAAAAATGAGCAAGCAAAAGGAAACCATGAAGAACGACTGGGTATGTCAAAAAGAACCAAGTAGAACTTTTAGAATTAAAAATGTGGCTGGGCGCAGTGGCTCACGCCTGTAATCCTAGCTCTCTGGGAGGCCGAGGCGGGCAGATCCTCTGAGCTCAGGACTTTGAAACCAACCTGAGCAAGAGCAAGACCCCATCTCTACTATAAATAGGAAGAAATTACTTGGCCAACTAATATGTATATAGAAAAAATTAGCCGGGCATAGTGGCGCATGCCTGTAGTCCCAGCTACTCAGGAGGCTGAGGCAGAAGGATCGCTTGAGCCCAGGAGTTTGAGGTTGCTGTGAACCAGGCTGACACCACAGCACTCACTCTAGCCTGGGCAACAAAGTGAGACTCTGTCTCAAAAAAAAAAAAAAAATAGAATTAAAAATGTAATTGTTAAAAGTTAAAAAAAAAAAAAAAAAGATGGGTTACAGAGATTAGGCACAGCTGAAGAGAAAATTGGTGAAATAGAATATATGCCTAATGAAATTATCCAGCACTGTAAATTTTGATAAAGAGAGATAAGGAGATAAAAATATGAAAAATGAAGAGTAAGTGATCTGGAAACAGTTTAGTACATACATATGCAGTTAAAGTTCCACCAGGAGAGAACAGATAAAATCAAAGAGAGAAAATATTTAAAGAATACAGGGCTCGGAATCTTCTAGAACTCACAAGAGAAAACTCAGAATCAAGAAACACAATGTACCCAAAATAAGGATAAATAAAAAGTAATCTCCATGGAGACTCAAAAGTGAACTGACAAAACACCAAAGACAAAAAACTTAATACAACTAAAGGAAAAAGAATATTTCAAAAAAGCATAAATAAAACTGGCAGCATACTTTGCATGAGAAATAGTAGAATAATATCTTCACTCTACTGACAAAAAAGAGACTACCAACCTAGAACTGCACATCAATCAAAATAATCTCTTAGGAGCTAAGGTTAAATAAAAATAATTTTGGATGAAAACTAAGCTGACCACCAATCAAGAAACCTGGACTTCTAAACATCTCAATTAAAAGACACAGATTGTCTGATAGGATTACAAGGAAAATCCAGTAATATATTCTTTATAAGAGACACCTAAAATGTAAAGACATAAAAAAATTAAGAAGAAAATGAAGGGAAAGGATATTCCAGGTAAATTAGCACCAAAATAAAGATGGGATCAGACAAAACAAATTCTAACACAATAAAGCAAAATTAGGGATGGAGGGGATCACAACACACTAAAGGTTCACAATCCACTAGGAAAATAGTATTAAGCTTGCATGCATATAATATGAGTCTCAAAATAAAAACAAAAATTGTTAGAAATACAGGAAGTCTGTTAGAAAGTAGGAGATTCCAACATACCTCTCTCAATAATGACAGGACAAATAAAAATTAATCAAGACTGTTTGAACACAATTAACAAGCTTTACCTAACAGATAAATAACAATTAGAGAATACATACTCCAGAAGTACATATAGAACACAGGACATAATTCACTATGTAGATGGCAATAAAGCAATAGCAAAAAGATGCTTTTAAAAACATAAAATACAGAACACATTCTCTAACACAAGAAATCAATAACAAACATTAAAAATTTCAAAATCTATTTCTAAATAACTCATAAGTCAAAGGAGAAATCAAAATGGAAATTTTAAAACTACTTTAAAATTTACTTTAATGTTAAGATTTAAAAGTTAATGAAAACACTACAAATTAACCTATGTTAGACAAAGCCAAAAATAAACTTTGAGAAAAACTTGAGATAAACGTTATAGCCTTAAATGTTTATACTAGGAAATAAGAATGGCTGAAAAGTAATGTTAAACATGTATTTTAAGTTAGAAAAATAGGAAAAGAACAAATTCAAAGAACATAAAAGGATGGAAGCAATAAATAAAAAGAAGGTGGAAAAATCAATGAAATAAAAAACAAAGATATACTCAGAGGACTAATTCCGCCAAAAGTTAATTCTTTGCCAAAATTAATGAAATAGACAAACTTTTGGCAAGACTAATCAAGAAAAAAGAAGTCAGGCATAAATAATATTCAAAATGAGAAAAGGGAACACAGCTACAGATAAAACAGAAATTAAAAAAGGAATTAAAACAATACAATAAACTTGATGCCAAAAAACTTAAAAATTTTTGACAAAAAAAATTTCTAAAACTTACCAAAACTGACTAAAAGAAATAGAAAACCTAAGCAGTCCTATGACTATTCAACTGCTAATTACTTTCCAACTTCCACAAAGAAAACATTAGATCCAAATGATTTTACAGGTAAGTTTCACCAAACTTTTAAGAAACAAATCAACCCAAATTCTCCCAGGGAACAGAAAAAGGGGAACTACTCTCAACTCACTGTATAAGGTAAGTGTAATCATAATACCAAAATCAGACAAGATAGTCAAAGAAAAGTGAGAGGTAATTCCATTTGTAAACAAATACAAAAATCTAAATATAATATTGGCAAACACAATCTACTATTTCATAAAAAGATAATCCATAAAGACCAATTTGGCTTTATCTCAAGAAAGAGTATAAAAGAGAATGAAGAATTCTAAAATCTATAAATTGGAATTCATTGCATCTAACATTAAAGGAGAAAACCACAAGATAGTCTCAACACATGCAGAAAAGCATGTGACAAAATAAAAAACAAAGATTTCTCTAAATTAATCAAAGGTATCCACAAAAACTCATAGCAAAGGTTATTCTTAATAGGGGAAACATTCTATTTTAAACTGGGAATGAGACCTGTATGCATGCCCACTATATTCATTTCTAATGAACAACCATAATCACTTCCAATGAACATATATCTAAAAGTGAGCTAATACGTTAAGACAAGAAAAATAAATTGAAAGCAAAAATAACTGGAAAGAACCAAAACTGTCACTATTTGCAAATGATATACTTAACCACATAGAAAATCCAAAAGAATTCCAGAAAATATGTTAGAATAAAAGCTTATGGAGTAGATAACTAAAGATTATTTTTAAGTCATTAAATTTCTATGTACTAACAATAAAGTCAGAATATAGAATCTTCATAAATGCCACCATTTACATCAGCAGGAACAAACTTAGAAACATCAGAATCAACATTAAAAAAGATCTCTACAGAGAAAATTATGAAACTACATTGAAAAACTACATAAATGGAAATACCATATTCTTAGGATGACTCAAAATCTTAAGATTTCAATTCTCCCCCAAACTGTTTCAATCAATTCTAATTAATTTCCAAAGGGTTTTTCATATCGTGTAACAAACTGATTCTTAAAACAAGAACAATGGTCCTGAGACTCCAACTCCTTCCCAGCTATCAAGATGTCTGATAAAACTACAGCATTAATTATTAAGACAGTGTGGTATGAAAAAACACAGAGACAGACTAGGTGACAAGTGATACAGTAAGGCAACCCAGAAACAGACCCACACACATAAAAACTAAACATGTGAAAGAGATGGCACAGCAGATCACTGGTGAACAGAGGGCCTTCAAAGCATAGTATAGGGATAATTACAGCCACAGAGGAAGGAAAAATGAATGTGGATCACTATCTCAAACCATACACAAAAATTAAGCCCAGATGAATTATGAACTTAAATGTGAAGGGCATCATTTTAAAACTTCTAAAAAGAAACACAGAAGAATGTCTTCACAAGAAGTTTTCCAATTAGATTACATTAAAATTAAGAACTTCTGTTCACCAAAATACACCATAAAGGGTGAAAAGACAGGCCACACACAAACTGGAAGAAGATATTTACAATGCAGGTAATCAACAAAGGACCAGTGTTACCAAGATATCAGTTTTTATAGACAACCCAACAGAAAAAAGAGTAAAAGATATGACAAGATATTTCAAAAAAGAGAAATAAAGATGATTTCTAAACATATAAAAGATGCTCAAGCTCACTGATAATCAAAAATGCATATTAAACCACACTGATGCATCATTTTATACCCATTCCATTGAAAAATATTAAGAAGTCTAACAGTAAGTGTTGAAATGGTTGTAGGTTAACTCTTACACACTGCTAATCAAATAAATTGACATATAAATTGTCAATTTATATTTGTCATATAAATGGACAAAACTGCTGGCCAAAGTATAAGCTGGTATAACCACTTGAGAAAACGATCAAGCATCATTTTGTAAAGCTGAACGAACATTCATAACTCTTGACCCAGCAATTCCACTTCTAGCCAATAGCTTACCACGGTGGTATTCCAACCTTTTTTTTGCTCAAAAACCACCAAAAATGCTTTTAAAAATTACAT